GTCTGTTCACTGTCTGAAACAAACAAAACACATTTGCGATGCGTCTCAACTAAAATTATAATCCCCAAGCGATTAAGACACTAAAGCTGGTACTTGGAAAACAAGGCGAATTTGTTTACAATACGACACTAAACTAATATATGAACTTACGTACTTCATTTAAATGAAATTTTACCAGTCTTTTACGTATAAATCTTCAGAGGGAAGTCGCTGGTAGCTAAACATCAGGAAGCCTTGTTATTAGAGTCTCCTTAGCTCTGTAACTCTGGCGTAGCTCATGTCACTCGAATTTCCGGAGATAAAGACTACCGGAAGTTCCAGGTAACTATGGTAATCTCCTTCGTGCAGTGTCGATGTTAAAAAATGTGAATAGTTACGCATTAAAATTATGACGATTGGACGGAAGGTGGGGTACCGTTCTTAAAACATTTATCCATAAATTGATGACAAAGTTTTATTGGACCGATATGAATAAAATTAAACTCGCCCCGATTAATTTAGTCTACACCAAATCGAAGTTTATTCAGTAATTTCAAATATAAAACATGGACTTTCTTTATATTCGTATCAGTTCAGTCCATGAATTTTTAAAAATATGGACATGACCATGGAAATTAGGTCAATCTGCCATACATGTTATAAAATATATTTCTATGGTAACCAGCGAACCGTATGACCTACATTTGAAGTAGGCTACCCGTCGTATTTTTTTAAAAAATTTTCTTGTAAGTGCTGCTAGCTTGAAAGAAGTCTCTGTCGCATGGCCTTTCAAAAATCGGCAACAAATAATATAAATTAAGAGCATTTTCAAGTCATCTCCATTAAAAGCAACTGTGTCAGTTCATGTTACAGACCTGCCCTTGTATGGATTCTACATCTGTGCCAACCACGCAAAACATTCTTACGTAACAGCAACAAATCCCTAAAAAAAAAAAATTCTCCGTTCCTTGTGTGTCCAGATTTCGTTTCTGTAAGGTCGTACAAAAATATTTATATTACGCATTCTTCTTTTATAATATTCCTCGGTTACATTTCTGTGTGTGTGAAGTCTGTCTGTCGAAAAGACTGATTTAATATCACGTAATTTGTCTCGGAAAAGCATCTTCATGTTTCTTCGTGTTCTTGGCAGACAAATTTGTCAAAACGTCTCACTCTGATAACAGAACTTTTGAAGCCTCCGTGCAGACAAAATGCTTTTTAAGCTTACATTCGACCGTGTATTTAATATCTCGATGTCAAAATTTCTCTTGGCTGGTCGTACACTCTCTCCCATATAAGCAACGAAGTGTTCCCCAGACTCTACGCACAGTGACGTCTTATTATTATTTAGTGTTCTGTCTGACGACAGGTCCATATGAACAGGATCCTTCCATCCTTTTCTCGGACTGGGACCTGTTCATATACGTTCTTGGCAGATGATCCAGAAGTGGTTTGCCATTCCCTTCTTCTGTGTGTGAATGGAGTAAGTGTTGGGATGCCACGGAGAAACCGGGGAAGAAGCCCCCGGAGGAAAACTCCGGGTTGCCTAGACCACGGCCTGGCCCAACACAAGTTATAAATTCGGGCACCACCGGGAATCGAACCCGAGACCCCAGGATTACAAGGCCAGCGTTCTAACCGTGAATAATTATGCTTGCAGGCGATTAAATCAAAAATAGGTAAATATCAACAAGAGTGAATGAGACTTCTCAACAGGGTTGTGGAGTTGACACCAAAATTTCCGTTTTAGGCACAGTCGTAATTGTAACGTTAAATTTATCAGAATTTCCTCACTAAAATTCTGAACGCATTTCCAGTACCTCAGTATCACTACTGATCTCTAAAGTCACGAAGTTCTAGTATCCTATTATTCTCTCATCATAAGTGCAATATTTCCTAAGCCACTTTGTTTTAAAATTTCCCTCATTGAGCCATTACAGCCAACTCCTAAAATGCTTTATTATTATCTAGTGCAGGGGTGGCCAACCCAAATGATCTTTCGGGCCACTTTGGAAATGCATCATAACTCCGCGGGCCACATATAAAATTATATATCCCCATATTAGATTTAGATACACTATAGACATTTTTTTGGAGTGAAAAATTGAAACATAATGAGTTATTATTATTGTGTTTACTATTATTCTTACATGTAAACATAGACAACACACTGTTTGCCGAGATAGGCTTAGGTTCGAAAACAGTTTACTTTTATCAGGTAAAATATCCTTCACAACAGCTTCCAAACATTCTGTCACAAATT